GTGTTTTGTTCTGGGGTTAATAATTGTGTGTGTTTCTTGGGATATTGTTTTCCATTCTAATCGCACGGTGACCATTGTCTTTGTCTTATTCAACCCGCTTAATTACCTGTATAACGCTAGTCAACGGGCATTCATGCTAAAGCTGAAAAGAAAGCTATCTTCTATTACCACTAACAAGGCTCAAATAGCATCCCACACTTACACAGGGTAGGCATTAATGAGCGGTCCCTACTTTGTAAACCGGAAGCATTGAGAACTTTTGTATGGTGTACGACACGTCTATTAAAAAGATGTTTAGAACAACAGTAGCTCATCGTATTACAGGCGGTGCGGGCCATTCTTGGGGAAAACAGTCGGTGACCATTTCCAACTCTCTGAGATGTGGACTTGAACGCACATCTTACTGTGAACTCGCGCTGTGTGCAGGAAAAGAAGCATCTGAGCGCAACCAAGACTCTAGTCTACTGTAGTGCTTTCCACAGACACACCACTGAAGAGATGGCCGGTTATTTCAACCCGAATTTGAAGACATTGACAACGACACCCTTTCAGTTTAATGCGACCGTCTTCTTTTTCCGGCGGAATATTACAGACGGAGCAGCCGCGGCGGGAGGCGCTCCGTGTGAAAGGGCTACGGAGAGGAGGCTATGCGGCTAGTCAATGCCCAACACAGCCTCGTACTTCGGGGAAACTGGTGTGTTACCTGCGGCATTTTCGTGAGCTAGGGCCACCGAAGAGGATGTGCCTGTATTGCGACGGAGGGTGGCTGACCTGTGTTTGCGTCCGCACCGCAAGGAGCGCCAGGTGGTGTTTCTGTAGCAGTCTGAAGATTTCCCTCTGTGATGAAACAGTGGCTGTACTAGCAAAAACTTTTTTTCGCATCGTGTCCCGAAAATATTGGGAGCGGCGACCCAAACCGGAGGGACCCAGATGGACAGTTATCCCTGAGTAAGTGTACACTAGACGAGTTATCGTTTTACATTTTTTAATCGAAGGTTCCTTACGCTGTTTACTGCCAAAAAGGCTCGACTTTAGCAACACGCAAGCAAATAATAGTTTAGTGTTGACCTCCCCCACCCTAGTTTCTACAACACGAATGGCGTATTCTCTATACAATTACGTGTGAGTAGATGACGGTCTTTAAACTGAACCTTCAAAAATTCAACACCATTATGGTTCATAGCACGAATATCCTCGGCATAATCTATGGTTCTCATGCTGGCTCTTGAATGGGATACTCAGTCTACTATATTCTTGAAGGTGTTTTTTTTTGGTGTTAGTGTGTTGCGTCTCTGCAGAGTAGGCGTTGTTAAGATTAGTTCGCAGCAGTATCTAGGCATCAACAGTCGACACAAAGCTTTTCTCTGCAGAACACGGAGATCCTGAGAGCTCTGCAGAAAGGCGTCTGGACTTTCTCCCCGATGCCGAGCCAATCAAAACTCCCTGTCGGTGCCAAAGGAGCTCTGGGTAACGACGTCAGCCTCCAAGATATCATTGTTTAAAACAGATTTAGAAGCTAATCTATTAATGGCAGTTTTGTTCTCCTCTTCGTGTTCGTCACGTGCGATTAGAATGAAAACATATCCCAGAGAACAGACCAACTCAGTAAATAAGTGTTATTAACCCCAGGTTCATTTTGTGCCGGAATTGTCCTTTAACTGGGGATCCCAATCCAAAGGTGTCTCTTTAAAGAATATGTTTTTAACAGTTTCTAAAGTCTGTCTCAAAACAATACTTAAATGGCCATATGTACATTGAAAGTGTAATTGTTCTTTCTGTCCATTTGTTCTGTCATGAAATTCCTTCCTAAAGCAATTTTAGTGAGTGATCTACATCCTTATTCAGTGCAAAAATACATTTCAAAGTTCAGCAAAAGCTAATATGAAGCTTCAGCAGTTTGAGTCAAACCAAGTGAATATCCTTCACAGTTAAAGCCTTTTAAGTACAAAAGTCCCTCTTCTGTTATGATACCTCTGCCACAACTAACTGAAGTGAAGCTTCATTCTAGCCAGGTTTCCATCCAAATGTAGCGCAAGTTTTAAACAAATATCCAGTAAATCGAAAAGAAAATGCAAATGAATGCACATTTCCATCCACTACCATTATGCAAATATCAGGAATCGGTTCACTGAGATATATAGTAGGTGGCACTAATTCTCCAGTTGGGTACCATTAAACCATTGGAGAAGAGAAAAGCGCAACAAGATGATTTATTTGCTAAGTTTGTTTCTATTGCTCTTTGCTTTTAACGATAGACCAACTTTTACACTTAAGCCAAGCATAGTCCCTCCAAACTATTAACACTCTCAGTGCTATACAACGTTATAGAACAACTTCATCCCTTTACTCGCCAAGAGCTGTATCCAGCAGTGGAAAGCAATGGCAATGTTAACTCTGGTTTCTTGTTCTACTTCTTCATCCTCCTATGTTGGACTGAGGGCAGACTGGATGCTACAGTGACTCACTATCGCCTCTTGAGATACAAAGTGGTATCATGAGACAGGTCGGTCTGGAACTTGCTGGTTAGCATGCTAACTTCTGTAGATATCTATGCAACACAATACATAGACGTCATAACATCAAAACTGCTATTCCTTCTTTCTGTTGATAAGTTTAGTCATTGTTTACAAACTAAAATTCTTATAGCTCTTTAATGCCAGCTAAAGGACACAAAACCATGCATATTCACATGTACGTGTGTGTCCTGACACACACTTACAAACATATCCCCACACCTGAAGTGAAAAGGCCAAACTTTATTCTTTACAAGTAACTTTTGACAAGTTCCCCTCCACATCCTGGAGTTGTATTCAGACGTGCTAGAAGGGAGTGCTGGAGAGCAGTCATGTAGAAAAAGAATGCTGTTACTGGAGTTATTAACAGGCTCCTGTGTTTCCCTCCTCTCAGCTGAGCTATTCAGAGCATAGCGTCCTCATCTGCCACAAACACATGCCGACAGACAGACGCAGCAGACGGACACACAGTGCAGCTCCTCTACGCGCTGCGCAGTAATATGTTTTTTGCCCATTTACAACAAATTAAGTTTCCCTCAAAGTGAATTTCAAGCTTGGTTGCCTTTGGAGGGCGAGCAACTCTCTTTTCATTAATTTTCATTCTTTTCCCCCAAACAAATGATCTACTGTACAGCCTGCTCTGCGTTACTCTCCTCTCCGTCTTTCCCTTTCTCTTGTTTTCTCCCCTCTTTGCCTTCTTTTTCCTGCTTGCTGGTAAATTTGGGCCAGGCAATGGAAAGCAATTACACTGTCAGAAAGGTGTATTCTGATTTATTAAAAGCCTTGAATGCTATCTGTTTTGTTCCCTCTTGTGTCCCTCTGGGGAACTGAGTCCTGACACCCAAATGAGACAGAGTGAGTGCTCCCTGCTCAATGCTCCATCCTGAGCGTCATCTAGGAAGCCGGCAGAGTAAATATCCATTGGCAGAGGAGGGCAGATAGACGGCTGTAACGCAGCTGCGAGGATGGGAATAGATTTGCCTTTAAAGCCCAAGAGGTGGAAGACACGAAAAGACAAAGAGAGGCAGAAAGAGAGTGTCTGCTGACTGCTGCACAGGCTTAGTTTGAAATGACATTCTTTTTCAACCTTAATGTCATACACCAGGTCCTCAACTATCTCCCATCCACAGAACTCTGGTTCCCAGCACTGTAGGTCCATTGACATCAGCCATTTCAGAGAACTTTTCATTAGCTTAATTCCTATTCACTGAAACACAAGGGAGAGCAGAGAGAGAGAAGGAGAGAGAAAGAGGGGTGAGAAAAGAGACAGAGCACCAAGCCATTAAGGTGTGAATAAGTTCCAATTTCCAAAATAAATATTATCTCTGTCTGAGTAACCCAAAATCTGTGTGCTTTTGTGCCAACATTATAATAAGGATCAACAAGGGGTCAGCACTGCGTGAACATCACACCATCAAATTCAAAGAGCTTCACCTGTGGTACTTTAATCTATTTATCTCCCATATTTTGTCCACACACAGTTGACCTGCACTGTGCAAAACTGTAAAGTTAAACCAACCACCGGCACAGACACCCCATCTACACTCCCTCCCCTTCAGAGAAGGCTACGCATTAACAACCATGACTAATGCACTCCCCACCACCTCTCCCTCATTACCACGTTCTTGATCGCCAGAGAGATGGCAGAGATGCAGGGGAGGGGATGTGTAATAAAGCATCTAGTATCCTTGGGGAAC